CGGTCTTCTAAATTTAGCACTTTATCAAGGCAATTTGGAGAACACAAGTCCAGTTCTGTATTAGAATCCCCAGGGAGGACATAGCGTACACTTGGGAGACTTTAAACAGTCTTGGCAAATTTGAAAAGAGGGGGAATTACAGGTGGAAGAGAAATGTAATAAAGCTAATGTTCTGATTGATTCTAATTTAGGATTCAGAATTATCATGAACTCATTTTCCAACAAGGAATTCAAGGGGACAACAGATGAAAGGATGAAGATTATTTAAGATGTCAAAATCACTGACATTTGATAGAACATTTAGTCAATAAAAAGTACTCTTCCGTTCATGTTATTTATTTTCCTTCAAGATTATATTTAGTTTATTAACATAGTCTTCATTTAGTGACTATAATTAGCCACAGCAAATCAGCTGTTAAGCAAAGCAGTTGCTAAGTAAAACCACAACTGTGCCTATGTCCTTACTTCAGCTTTCCTTTGCTTTACAGATTTGTGAAATATGAAGATTGGTAGTAATCTTCATATTTGTAAAGTTGTAAAGTTACTTTTTTTTATCATTGTTGTAACTGTGAACAGTTGCTAAATGAAGCAATCACTACTTGTAGCCCATTCTGGAATCAACTGATACATATGTCCTAAATGTGAGGTTACTTGATATTTATTATTAATTAGCTGGGTACCCATGCTTCGCTATGAAACTATGTGATGGGGCTTGATAAATTGACACTTAAAACTTGAAAATTAATGAGTAGTTATGATTGGCCTCTCCTCTCCCCTTCTCTCCCTCAGCCTTGCCCCACAGAAACGTCTCCTATCCTATCTCCCTTCTCTTCCTCGGGCTTGCCACACAGAAGCCTCCCCTATCCTATCCCCTTCTCTCTCTCAGGCTTGCCCCACAGAAGCCTCCCCTATCCTATCCCCTTCTCTCCCTCAGCCTTGCCCACAGAAGCCTCCCCTATCCTATCCCCTTTCTCTCCCTCAGCCTTGCCCCAAAGAAGCCTCTCCTATCCTATCCCCTGCTTGCTGCTGTGAAAGTAAAACTGAAATTGAAACTCCTCTCCTCTGCTTGTGTTTTGCATTTGGAACAGATTTCTTTTCAAGTGGGGAGGCGGAGTAGAACTCCTTAGCATCAGAGAGTATTAATAATAATGTAGGAAATACTAATGCTCTGATGGTCATTTTGAAAAATCTTATTGAGCACCTAGAAGTCAAGAGGAACATACGTGGCAAATTTCAAGCATTACGGTTCTGGAGATTTCATGATTACGGCATGAATGGTTTTCGCTTTTATATACAGAGATTTAACCTGATTTTATTGTAATTAACATTTGATTTTAGGTAGGTAGGTAGGTAGGTAAGTAGGTAGGTAGATAGGTAGGTAGGTAGGTAGGTAGGTAGGTAGAGATAGATAGATAGATAATAGATAGATAGATAGATAGATAGATAGATAGATAGATAGATAGATAATCTGTATACAATTTGAATATGATTTCCTATATAAATGTAGATCTTTCTGAAGCATGCAAAGGGCAAAATGACTATTGCTTCATGAGGCAAGTTGCCAAGACCCTCAATTGCCAGTGCCCTCTTCTTCTGATGCCTCAAATGGCAAATAGTATTCTGTGACTATCAGAAGCATATGGTGATGCAAGACCAGCCTCTTGACAAGGGTAATGTCAAGCAACTTTCTCTTCTGGAAACCTCTACATTTATGCTGATTTATTTATTTGGGATGTTCACCTTAAGAAATCTGTCTTCCATAAATATAAAATATAACTTTTGTATTTAATTACCCCCACAATGAAATAAAATGAATTTTAGATGTTATTGTGATCGCACCTACCAATCAATCACCTACCATTTTTGGGAGTTTGAGTCTCAACCAACGCTCAAAGGCTAAGAATATCCCTTTGCATGGAAAAAGTTATGCACTTTGGCTGTACATGAAGGTCAGAAAACGCACATACAAAGTGAAATCAAGGATAAAGTATTTGTTTTTGTGAGCATGCAGAGTTTGAGAAATAGATGTGGTTACAGGAAGCCTCATTTTACATTAAGTTGCCATGGTATAATGCTCAAAGCAACACTCTAAATTATGTACAAAAAAACCAACAGGGTTTGGGCAGCAACTATTACACTCCAGCTATCTTCAGACATTATTAGACTCTTCTCTTCTAAACAAACATGAACTGCTAAGACTAAAGATCTGTTTTTCAGGCCTCCAGAATACTATTGGCTACTTTTGAATATGAGGGCTGGTAAAAATGCTATTACAATATGGAAGGGGACAAATTTAGGACATGGTTTGACTTTAATTTCTGGCATCTGAAGAAACATCCTTAATAAAACGAAGAAAAAATAATTGCACGTTGCTTTTGATTACTAGTGGCTGGAAGCACTACAAACCTCCCTGTAGCACAACACACACCAGCTTGCATGATCAATATTCAAGTCTTTTCAATTATGATGTCTGACACAGAACTTCTTATTTTCTGCAAAAACATAGTTCTTGCTTTGCAATGTTCATCGAAGCTGGAGATACTATATATGGGCTGTAAAAATTAGATGTCAACCAGATGGAAGGAGAGTGTTAGCATTTTAAAACTCTTTCTTGCCGCTTAGGAGTTCTTTATATTTTTGCTACTTTGATATGGTAACCCTAACTAAGACCTGCTAATTCAGCCTGACTATATTTCTGGCAGCCTGCTATTCAGTATCCTTTAGCGTGTCAAGAAAATCCTTTTCATTGTTTTAAAGAAAAGTTGCCCAATTCTTTGAGAAATGGAGGACAAAAAACTCCTGATTGCTGAAACAAACTTATTTGCAATGGTAATATTTTTATTTTTAATATTTATTTTACAGTATTTACTTTTTATCCAGCCTTTATCATTTTTATAAATAACTCAAGGCAGCAAACATACCTAACACTCCTTCTTTCTTCTCCTGTTTTGCCAATAACAACATCCCTGTGAGGTGAGGTGAGGTGAGGTGAAAATCACCCAGCCAGCTTCCATGGTTAAGACGGGACTAGAACTCACGTCTCCTGGTTTATGTTATAAAACATACAGGTGAAACTCGAAAAATTAGAATATCGTGCAAAAGTTTTTATTTCAGTAATGCAACTTAAAAGGTGAAACTAATATATGAGATAGACTCATTACATGCAAAGCGAGATAGTTCAAGCCTTGATTTGTCATAATATTGATGATTATGGCTTACGGCTCATGAAAACCCCAAATTCACAATCTCAGAAAATTAGAATATTATATGAAATCAATAAAACAAGGCTTGTACATAGAACAATATCGGACCTCTGAAAAGTATAAGCATGCATATGTACTCAGTACTTGGTTTGGGCCCCTTTTGCATCAATTACTGCTTCAATGTGGCGTGGCATGGATGCTATCAAGCCTGTGGCTCTTGTGCATTGTTCGGTCTCATGTCTCTCATCTTTCTCTTGGCAATGCCCCATAGATTCTCTATGGGGTTAAGGTCAGGCGAGTTTGCTGGCCAATCAAGCACAGTAATCCCATGATCATTGAATCAGGTTTTGATACTTCTGGCAGTGTGGGAAGGTGCCAAGTCCTGCTAGAAAATGAAGTCAGCATCCCCATAAAGCTTGTCTGTGGAAGGAAGCATGAAGTGCTACAAAATCTCCTGGTAGACGGCTGCATTGACCCTGGACTTAATGAAGCACAGTGGACCAACACCAGCAGATGACATGGCTCCCCAAATCAACACAGACTGTGGAAACTTCACACTGGACTTCAAGCATCTTGCAGTGTGTACCTCTCCATTCTTCCTCCAGACTCTGGGTCCTTGGTTTCCAAATGAGATGCAAAAGTTGCTCTCATCAGAAAAAGAGGACTTTGGACCACTGAGCAACAGACCAGTTCTTTTTTTCTTTAGCCCAGGTAAGACGCTTCTGATGTTGTTGGTTGTTCAGGAGCGGCTTGACAAGAGGAATACATTTGAAGCCCATGTCCAGGATCCGTCTGTATGTGGTGGCTCTTGATGCACTGACTCCAGCCTCAGTCCACTCCTTGTGAAAGTCCCCAACACTTTTGAATGGCCTTTTCCTGACAATCTTCTCCAGGCTGCGGTCATCCCTGCTGCTTGTGTACCTTTTTCTTCCACACTTTTCCCTTCCACATAACTTTCTATTAATGTGCTCTGATAAGGCACTTTGGGAACATCCAACTTCTTTTGCAATTACCTTTTGAGGCTTTCCCTCCTTATGGAAGGTGTCAATGATGGTTTTCTGAACAACTGTCAGGTCAGCAGTCTTTCCCATGATTGTGATTCCTACTGAACCAGACTGAGAGACCATTTAAAGGCTCAGGAACCCTTTGCAGGTGTTATGGCTTAATTAGCTGATTAGAGTGTGACACTTTTGAGCCTAGAATATTGAACCTTTTCACAATATTCTAATTTTCTGAGATTGTGAATTTGGGGTTTTCATGAGCTGTAAGCCATAATTATCAAAATTATGACAAATCAAGGCTTGAACTATCTCGCTTTGCATGTAATGAGTCTATCTCATATATTAGTTTCACCTTTTAAGTTGCATTACTGAAATAAATGAACTTTTGCACGATATTCTAATTTTTCGAGTTTCACCTGTATAATGTTAAAGTTATATTGCAGAACACCGTACTGGTATATCAGAAGTTGGGATACACGTTTCAGGTTATGTAATTCAGTAGGAATTATAACTTTTTCACCACTGCCCAAACTTACGCAAGAGTCCATCAGAATATGTGAAACCTCATGAATTTGTCAAATCTCCACACTCTTTCATAATTTCAGAACTTTTTATTTTCATTTATTTATTCATTCATTCATTCAATTTCTATAGTTTTCCACCTCAATCCAACCGAATGACAAAATCTCATGTGTTTTTCCGTAATGTACGAGATTTGGGCATTTATCCTAAAATTATGTAAATTGCTTGGTTTTTAGCATTTTGACATCTCATAATATTTCACTATCTCACAATGTTTTGAATACTTCTTTTTATCTGCTTTATTTTGAAGGTTTCACAGCTGGGAATTCCAGGAATAACCAATCACAGAAATAAAATCGGTTGGGAGCACAATATATAGTTCAGGTTAGCCTTCAATAAATGGAAAAGTGTCATGTCAATCACTGATGATGACTCAAAAAAAAATCGGTGTGCTGATTTTGGAAGCTATAAATTCCTGCTGCTTTCCCAATGTTCCTTTCCTGTATAATCTGCTTGTTCTTGTTTCTATTTCTGTCCAACTCATTCTATACTGGAAGAGCTGGCCCAGCCATACTAGTCAGAGTAGGCAAGAAGCAATGTTTTCAACAAGTCTCATGAAATCACTCTAGAATCATCTCAGCGGAAACCTCAGGTGGGAAACTCAGATCCTGATGAAATGCTATTATTGGTCCCTGATGGCTAAATGGAATCAGTTCTTACCAAGCGATTTCACATCACGTTTTCCAGGGCTAAAGAACCACCAAAGACAGTATGAGATTTGACTGACAGGTTCTCTCTCTTCATATAACTCTCCCCATAGTTATACTGAGATTTCCATTATATTGAAACGTCCATCTCTGAACTTTTTGGCTGCTTCAGTGCTGAGATCATTGACTTCATCCCCTGCTTCCTTGTTTAAAAAAAATAGGAGTAAAAAAAGGAACATCTATAAACATCAGGAAGGTATTGTAATGTAACATTTCTAAACCAAAAAATTCCACTCTAAAAGGATTATGAAAGTGAAAAGGAAAATAATACTGCATAATATAACTGCATAGCAACATCTGACATTCATGAGTTCACATGGGGATTTTAATAATGGGATATAGCAAATATCCAACTAGATCTCCTTAAATGTTTTACTCAAATGTTTTTTTTTTCCAGAATAAGCTGTATTCCTTTAACACATATTCCATCACCATCTAAAGCAGACTGGAGATCAAAAGAAGTACACTGAACTTCAGAATTAATAACAGACATTGCTATGCAAGATTGAGAATTCTATCATTCTTGAATCCATTATCTTAGGCTATTAAAACTAGTATGAAATTTTCATTTCACAACAATTGGGTCAAAAAGCTGGAAGTAAGTGTTCAAAATGGTTTAATTTATATGACTCTAAAGCTCTCCAATCTCTTTTTAGCCCAAACTGTGCCTCACAGGACAACCATTTTTGAAGTAAGGTACCTCAAATGGGCTAATTTAAATAATGGGTCCAAAATCCAAGGCCCAATACTCCCATGAAATTAAAATTTTAAGGATCTTCAGAACAGTTATATTCATGAACCTGTGGCCATTGCAGTGTGACTGGGCTCAGCCATAGTCACATGATCTTGACATCCAATGCTCCCTGCCAGCTTCCCACAAGCAAAGTCATTGGGGAAGCCAGCAGGAAGTCAAAAGTCACTCCCACTCCCACTGATGATTGCCCATCCACAATTATTCTGCTTCTTTATTAAATAACGAAATACCTCTGAAAGGATGACCAAATTGGTCATAGGTCATCTGTTTGAATTCTAAATGTAGTTTATTCTACACTACGTAGTACAAGAAACAAGTCTAAAATGAAGGTTCAGATTTACACAGTTGGATTGTCAAGTTTAGTAGTAAACTTTTCCCCTTCATAGGTCCTTTCTCCACTGCTGAGTTGAAGTGCAATCCACTAATCCTTAAGTAGACATTAAACACTGCCCGCATAACATTATTTGTTCCTGTTGCCGATCCCCATTTGCTGCTGCTTCAAATCACTTCAGTCACCTGACCTCCCTCCAAAATAAAGGTGACCAAGCCTAACAGATCTGGCTAACCTTGAGGCTGCCCTTGGAGAGCACTGGAAGAAAGAGGAAAATATTAATCTAGTACATCTAAGGACAAGCTAAGGCCATCTCATTTATGGCCTGAGAATAAGATGAAGGCCATGTTATGAGGACATAACAGAAAACAAAACTGTTGCCAAGGGCATTTTTGTGCTGTGGTTAATGCAAGTGGGGGAAGATTCTTAGACTTGTCTCTATTACACGGCAATTTATTCATTTAGTAATTTTTATACTATAATTGTAGCCAACAACCTGCATTTTTTAAGCTCTTCCTTTACTTCGTGGCTCCTCAACTGAAACCACATTCAGTATGACTATGATAAGAACCCCACTTAGCTAGACAGGGCTACATTTGGATGCAGGCAGCTAGATTAATTTTCTATAACAAAAGCAATAAAGAGCTTCTTAGGCACCTCAAAGGCTAAAGGATTTGTGAAATAGAAGTCACTTTATCTAAACATGTCACAATAAGTCTGCTGGACTGCTCCAGCCCTTTAAGGAGCAGCTTATGAACAAATGTTTTGGGCATGATTTGTTCGCATGATCATTAATATTTTGAAGTTTGTCTCATTTTGTGGGAGGAAGTGATGGGGAGAACTACTGTAAGAGAGATTTACAGTTTACCACTGCACAATGCAAATAAAGCCAAAGATTTGCAAAGCTGTGAAACCTGTTGGGCCATGGAGTGAAGGTGGGGATCTTAAGGCTCATGTAACAGAAAGATCACCATACAGAAAGGAAAATGCATTTGGCAATGTTTGATCTTTGAGGAATCTCACAACACAAAAACAAAACCCTGGATTTTTAAATACAGGATAAACTGAGGCAAAGTTTTGAGCATGGGTTTGGAGGTGTATTATGTGGCTGACATGTAAACAGGAGTTCACAAGTACCTCTGGGAATTCTTCCCTCTCTCTGCCTCCCAGATTCAAAGCAGCATCTTTATTACTTCAGATTCTATTCATTTAGAACAGGGGTGTCAAACTTGATTTCATTTGAGGGCTGCATCAGAGTTGTGTTTGGCCTCAGGGGGGCCAGGGAGCATGGCAAGGGTGGGCATGGCCAGTTCAACATCACTCTTGTTGGGGGTGCCTGTGGTGGCCTGAATGCTCTGCTGACGAAAACGGGCTCCCAAGCTCCATTTTTGGCTGCAAAGGCTTCCTGCAATCCTCTGCCAGCGAAAACAGAGATCAGGAGGGCTGCCTGCGGCCCTTCCAAGCGCCATTTTCACTGGCAGAGGCACTGCGGGCCAGTCCTTCGCTGTTTCTAGGGCGGCCCCGCAGGCCAGATCTAAACACCCTGCAGGCCGGATTCGGCGCACGGGCCTTGAGTTTGACACCCCCAACTTAGAAGGTATCTCCCCTTTATCAATTGCTGCAGTAGCACGTACCAAGCTGCTATTCACTATCTTCTCTGGACACCTTTCTGCTTCCCTTCTTCCTAATGGTCATTTTTGTTATTTTTCAATCAACTGAACAAAAGTACAAACCTGAACAAAAAGGATGATGGGAGAGGTATATTAGCAATTTCTTCTCTTTCCATTTTGTGTGGAGTTTGGGTTTGGTTTTTTTTTTTTGGTTGGGTTGTTTTTTTTGTTTTTTGTTACTTTGGAACCTGCAGTCACTCTATCAAGGTGTCAACAGTAGAACATTTTTTGAAGGCACACACTGATGCAACACAGAGTACTGGCTAGCCTGTGGCATTTTCTGCTTATTCTGTGTTTTGAAGCCAACAGAAGTACAGACAGCCAAAGGTCAGCTCTGAGCTCCTTTGGATAGACTTAGGAGTCAAGAAGGCAAGAGTGTAAATGTGTCCTTAAAATGCCTCAAGAGAGGTTTTTTAAACAAATGTAGCATGTCTATATCCTAGTGATATGATGTAAGATTATAATGTAGATTTATATAATTCTATTTCTTAATATCTACCAGGTTATGTTACAGGATCTTTTAAAAGTATCTGCTTATTTGAAGGTTTTAGAAAGAGAAGCCACACTGAAGAGTGCTTCTCACACATACTTCGTAGGTACACACAGTACACATTTTCATAGTGTCCTTCAACCTTAGTATAAACAAACGCCTTTGCTTCTATTTAATTTGAAGGGGTTGCTATCTTTAAACTAAAACTGTATCCTGGTCTGTGACCATAACTAAAGATTGAGTGATTAAAACAAAACTGTAAAACTTGCTAGCTTATGTTTCAACTGAATGCCATTCTTCTTATGTAAAAAGAGAAAGATCAAAAATAAATCATACTTTACCCTAAACCTTTTAAGACAAAGGCCTGCTTTAAAATGGGCAAAACACCATCTCATTTGACAGATACGTGTGGAGAAAAAGAAAAAAAAAAACCTCAATGTTAGTGTGCATGTCTAAGAATGGGAAGGAAATGCAGGATATGTAACCACACAGTTCTTATGCAAAGCAAGTGCAACAATTACTGGGAATTCGTGGATGGTGGCAGACACATTAGGTAACACAACATGACTGCCGAACGTTATTACAAATATCACTTCCACGGGTCTGTTTTTTTTTTTTTTTTTTTTTTGACAGGGCGATCCCTTGGAAATCGGAACGGGAACTGAGCAGCTTTTTAAAGATCCTCACCAAGACCTCAGGAGCAGATACAGAAAAAGTTCTTTATTTCACCGGATTCTAAAGCGATCCCATAAGAGGAGTGTCCCGCCCCCCCTTTTTTTTTTCGGTTCTTCACGCCGCCTGCCTCATAGATCCCTCGAACGAATTGACCACACGGATCTACTTTGTATTAAGAGACCTACCTCTGCCACCGCGTCGCAAAGCCCAGCCCTTCTTTCCACCACGGGTCTCAACACTCACGTGGAGCCTCAGAACTCCCCCCACCGAGGCACAAAAAGCCCCGCCTTTCAGCCGTTGGCCGCCTCTTATTGGCTGGTGCGAGCGCTTACCATTCCGGCGGCGGGCGGGCTCCTTTGTGACGCCACAATCAGCTGTTTGAACGTTCCAATTTCTGAGCCAAGATCAACTGGGGATTCAGCAATAACCGAAAAATAATAATACGAAAACTACATTTGGGGAGGGAGAGCGTCCGGATGCAAGGGCATCTGCATGTATCTTGCAGTGTTTGCATATCTTCTGAGAAGATCAGAGACACAATTGACATTACCGCCGCAACCATCTCCTTTTCTTGCTTAATGTTTAATTTTTTTTTCCCGGTGGGGTGTCTTTAAAAAAAAAAAAACAATCCTCAGTTCTATTATGAACCTTAGTTGTTGATTTCAATTAAAACTACCTCACAGACTTCGCCTAAAGCTGGTGCTTGAACAAAAAAACTTGTAGGTTTTTTTTATATGTGTGTGCTTGTGGCGTGATTTACAAAAGAGTTGATGACATTAAAAGGCAAGTGAAGGTAAGTGATGCTCTCCCTCTCTCCGACAGTTTATTTTTAAACTGGGGGACCCTCTCTCTCTTTGTGGGAAAGAAACCACCTGCGATAGATACTGTATGCTGTTGCTCGGGTCTTTGTTTCTTTGTTTTCTGTTTCTTTTGCTTCAGCACTTCATATTTTCTTTTTCGCAGTAGCGTTTGGCATTCAGTTTTGATCCCGACTTTCTTTCTGGGGGGACATTTTTAATTGTCCTTTGTATTTGGCAGTACATCTTTGCGCCTTGGTGCTTCGTTGTAGATTTCTTAGTATGTTGTTATGGACGCGTTGTTGGTTTCATCTTCTGGGTTAGCAGGGAGAGACCAAGCAGCCTTATTCGGCGGTAGCAGAATAGATCAAGATCTTTGTGTTGAGTTGAGGAACCAGACTCGCTAGGTATGGCGCGGGGTGGGGAGGGGGAGGCTATTGGTGGTATCTTGTTTACTTTAAACCACTTGCGGGTGAAAACTGATGTGTGTGCGCGCGTATCATATTAGTGTTAAGGTTTACGAGACCTCTCAGGTTTAAAAAACAGGTGCGCTGATAAACCGCTTCATAACCCTTCACAATGAATAGTGTTAGTTCATTCGGGAAAGGAATCGCTATTCAACAAAAGGCTGTCCGGAGAGAGGGGGGTGGGGGAATGTCAGAAGGAGCCCGCGAGGAGCTCGGGATCTGAGCCGTTGACTGGCTTCCTCGAGTCAGTCGGTGCAAAAAGAGCCTTTTGTCTTTGACTTTCTTTGGGGGGAACCATCAAGGAAGAGGCGCAGCCAACCCGCAGAAACGACTAAAATTCGGGGAGAGAAGGAAGGAAAGATGCAGAGAGGAGGAAGGGAAGACGGGAGTGGGGGGGGGGGAAGAAACCACCCCTCGCCTTGTGGGTGCGGAGGCTCGCTTCTCCCTCTCCCTGAGGTCATAGCAGGCGCTGCTGGCGGATTGGAAAGGGTCCCTCGTAAATTAGCTGCAGCTCCTTCAGAGCGGGGACTTTGCGTTCAGTTGTAGCCTTGAGCGCCAGCTTCCCCGTAGCTCTGCCAGGGGGAGAGGGATTACGCACCGCAATCCGGCCGGCTCGCTCTCGCTAGGTGGGGAGGTGGGATGGGTCCCTACAGCTAATGCCCAGCTAGATGTAAGGCGGTTTGCTCGGTCTCTTCCTTCCGTTTGTTTTGGCTTCGCTGGCGATTGTCACCTTTTGTGGAGCTTGGGCGAAGGGACCGGGTTTTAAGAAGTACAACAGCTATCACTCTGGTTTTTCAGGCGCGTCCTTGGATGGACTCGGGTAAGGCGGAGAGCTGGAAAGAACGGAATCTGGAACTCCTCCTTTTGAGATCCCTGGCAAGTAGCGTTGGGTAAGACCAGGCAGGGCCTTGCGTTTGCTGAAAGGACTTGACTGTTGAGTGACATCAGCTTCTGAATTAAAGCCCACTACGTCAGATACAATAAAGCAAAATGGGTGTTTTTTCTCTTTAAAGATGAAACAGTAAGGGGTGGGGTAGAGAAGGGGAGCAATCGTGTTAAATGACAACTTTCTAGATCCAGTTCCGAAGGGGAAGAGGGGGAAAAAAAAAAAAGAACAAGCGCGTAATTTCGTGACTTTCACTGTGATTTCTCCTCTTTCTCGCATCCCCGTTGTCTTCTCTTGCTGCTCTTCTTTTGTTATTCGCTTCTTCGTCAACGGATTAAGATTAAAAACGGGTTTCTGTTGCCATTGGCTGCCTGGGACTGAAAGCCTGTCTTGACGGTCTCGTCATTTGCATATGACATTGTGACGTCACCAAGGCCAGCCCTTTCCAATCTCCCTCCTCCCTCTCCCAACCTACGCATGCTGAAGCTGTCCTCTTTTGACCTGGGTGGATGGGCTGTCACGTTTTGGAGTGCTGGGGTTTGGGCCTGGCCTGGGCCTTTGATAATTGGATGGCAAAGGCCTGCGGGGAGCAATGTCACCTTTTTATTTTGGTATCGCTGGAAAAAGGAGATTTGACAGAGGTATCAAGTAAAAAACAAGTGTGGAAGGCTGAGGGGGATGGACATCAAGATCAACTTCTCTTCATTACGGATAGCTTTGCAGGGTAGTTCATATTTCAGTTCATATTTTAGCAAGCATAATTTAATGATACCAGTGGCTGGCAAGTCAAATCTTAGCTGCATTGCTAAAATGGGATCTGCAAATGTGGGATTTTCAAAAAGCTAATGGAAGGGGGTGGGTGGGGGTGGAAATTTGGATATAATTAATCATGGCTGGTTTAAAATGTGACACTTGCCACAATTAATATCAAAGTGCAAATTATGCTTCTCCACGCCCTATTTGTGTCCTTCCTGCTTAACTTGAAATAGATTTTTTAAAATAAAGTTGCCTATCCATGACAAGTCATGGTAAATGGGTAATTTGAAATTTATGTACACACACAAACACACTTTATAAAACTATAAACTGCTCTGAATCAGAAAATTACATATGTTCTATTATTTGGCATACTTTCAATGGCACACAGAAATAACTATGACTCTAAAATCCTACTCCACTTAATCTTATTCTGTAGCCCTTTCAGTGTCTGAGATTTTCATGGGCATTTCCTAATCACATACTGTCACTATGTTTTCTTATCTTCTTATCAGGAATTTAAAAAGTTATTTTACATTTAAACAGCACTAGGCCTGAAATCATGACTCTTACTCTGTGTGAGAGGAAGGCAGGGGAACAGATGTATTTATTTTGAGATGTCATTGTTACGCTGAATATTATTTAACCAGTAAGAATGCCTTCCTGAACGGAAAGACCTTGTTTTCATCTCTGCATTGATTAAATAATTAAGCAGATGTTTTTGATTTTGATATTCTGGCTGAGAATTATTAGAATCAAATTCTAGCACATCTGAAAGATAACAAGATTGTGAAAGTCTGAAGTGTAATTTTTAAAATGCAACCACATTCAAATAGTTTAGGTTTTGCTGAAATATCAACATTTTTGACATGTATGGCTTTATATATACCAAGCATCATACACTCTATGGTGTTCATCTGATCTGGCTGCCATTTGTTTTTATAGCCCATGATTACATATGATTCCAAGATGTCTAAAATAGTAGATGAACTAATAATGCTAAGAGATCTGGTAATATATTAATTGCTATATTAAAGTAAACCACTTGTGTAATAAAATAAAAGTATAAACATTTTAAGTTTTGCTCTGCAGCTGTATGGACTAGGAAAGTACTCAGAAGTTCATCTGTATCCATGAAATTACAAATGATGGATTTGGACACACCAGGTATATCAAAGATGAACTGCAACTGTAAAATGTAAATGTAGAATAGAATTTCTGTGACATTACTCGTGTTCTTCTAGCTATGGAGTTCAGCTATCAGCTGTTTGATGGCAGTCTCTTAAATCCGTCTCATTTTAAGAAAAATATCTACCTGCTATAGGCAAAGATTGTAAAGTCTATATCTTGATATAAGAAATACAGTTGAGTAGAGATACCAAAGTGAGGGGTAAAGCTATTTTTTTGCATTAACTGTCCTATTTGAATAGAAGCTGATGAATTCCACAAAGGTCATAAGCACGTAGCATTTTTTTATACTGTGATGATGATCTTATGAGTATTCTTAGGTATGTTTTGTAAAATTTTCCTTAGCAACCATTAGTGGCCATTCTCTTCTGAAGTTTTTACTAAAAAGTCTTCATTCTAAAAATATTTTTTAATTTAAAAACTCGGACTTGGCTGATTACCAAAACAAGACCTCCCTGCTCCTTTCTGTATCGTTCTTTTCCCATCCTATGTTCTTATCTAACAGGATAATTTTGGAAAGCCTGGTCTTTGTAAAACAGAACTCGTAAAAGAATTAAGCTGTGGCTTGAAATGTTCAAATCAATATACAACCCATTGAAATATGAAACAAATTTCCAATAATGCAGTAGAGGAGAAATCCAGAAGAACATAGTGCTAGCACTTTTTTTTTATAGAGCTGATATTGATGTCATCTTCCAGAGCACAAGAGTACCGTAATGGATAGAATTCGGTTGCTCTATCAACTGAATGAGGTGATGACAAGGTCTTAAAGCATTAGAGTCAGATTATATAGAACAAAAATAGACAATGTGGTGTCCACATCATATCAATACCCAGCACTTTCCTTGGTCCTCATCAGACTCATAGTCTATCTAACTTTTAAAAGATTTTTTAAACAAAATTAAATAGAAAGGTGGCCCATTGTAAACCATAGTGCCACCTGCTAGCCTCATATTTATTTCCTCCAATGATTTTTTTTTTTAGAGCTATAAGTGTTGGGAAGCTAGAGAGCATGCTGAGAGGCTAGTTTACTTTCTGATAAATGTAGAAATATAGAGATATAAGTGGCCACATTTGTAGCATAATTATTTTGTGACTAGATAATTCTAGTCACATAGCAACTGTTTTATAAGTACAGGTAATCCTTGATTTATAACAGTTCATTTAGTGACTGTTCAAAGTTACAACAGCACTGAAAAAAGTGACTTATGATAGTTTTTCACACTTATGCAGCATTCCCACCATCACGTGATCAAAATTCAGATGATTGACAACTGAGTTACATTTATGATGGTTGCAATGTCCCAGGATCATGTGATCACCTTTTGAGACCTGATAAGCAAAGTCAATAGGGAAGCTAGATTCACTTAACATTATTACTAATTTAAAAACTGCAGTGATTCACTTAACTATGGCAAGAAAGTGTAAAACGGGGTAAAACTCACTTAACATTTGTCTCACTTAGGAGACAATAATAATTTTAGGTTCAATTGTGGTTGTAATTTGATAACTACCTGTATGCCTAATGCATTTTCACAAAATTCAAAATATGCCCTCTGCCAAAAATGTTGCCTATTCAATACAGAATAGATCAATAATTTTTTAAAAAATTAAAATGCTGAATACGGTCTTCTTTTTCTTTGATATATTTCATTCTTGCCTCTGTTTAAAAATTAACCCTTCTTTTAAGATGGATTTCATTTCCTATTAAAAGTGAGAGATTGGATTTCTACTAGCTGAATTACTTTTCTTAAAACTTTACAGTTTCTATACATTCATATTATGCAGTCAGAAAAAGCAGCCCTACATTCAACACCATGAACTGTCAGGAAAATGTGTACAGAATTCCAGCCGCTTGGGTGGTACTGCTAGTCTTGATAAGGAATCATTATGTAAATATTTAAGATACGCTCCTGTCCTCCAAAGTTGTTACTATACTGATACCAAGATTCCTACAAGCTGTGTAGTTTTCGAGCAAATCTTAAAATGCTAAACAGAAAAGTCTCTTTTTTTCTCTCCCTTTCTCTCCTTGGTATCATGTAATAACAACTTCGGAACACAGGAGATTATCTTACCCTTTGCATCTCTTTGCCAAATATTCTTTCCTAGTTTTTTCTCCCAATTTTTCAAGGGCTAAAATACGGAAGTGTAATCAAAATGAAATAAGAAATGGATTTCCTGTCTAAATTATGCACCAAATACCTTTCTGCAGCCTGAGAACCTGGAAATATAGAGGGATTCAATTAGGCTAGCTAGGAAATATGAGAACTGCAATCCCCACTTTTCTGAAGGTACCAAAATGAAGAAAATTGTGCTACACAGTTTAGTTCTCCAATAGCCAATTCAGCTTTTGTCATTTTTTTTTGTTGTTGTTGCTTGTAGAATAAGTAATAGATGTTTTCCTGGGTGATGTCAACTTTTGCATTCATATATTTATAATGCAATTGATAAAGTGAATGAGACTATATCTTGCATTTCCATTTTCTTACACACTAAGAAACTTTGCAGTATATATTGGTGTTAGATTTTAAACCTGGCCTGTTTATTGTCTCATACATCAAGCAATATGAGAACATTTTGTGTATAAATTAATATCATCTTTCCAATAAAATTTAACAGAGGATTTCAGAGTGTATTGGTCATAAGTACCGACAACCATTTGATTATTTAGAATTAGTTATCTGTTTTACATCTTTCTCCTGTCCAATAGATAATCTAATACATTCAAAATTACCAGATGAGGTAGGAATTAAGGATAATGACAGTAAAATAAAAGTGATCCAGGAAAGTATGTGAATATTGTAATTCCACAAAATTTCCCTCGAAAGAAAAATAATTTGTATTGGCTGCAACTCTTTCTTTTTTGCGATCGGTACACTTAGTCCTCTATGTACAACAATTTGTTTAACAATTGTTCAAAGTTACAACAGCTCTTTAAAAAAAGGACTTACGATTGGTTCTCTCACTTATGACTGTGGCAGTATCCCCACAGTCAGGGGATCACAATCCAGGTGCTTGGTAACCTGTATGTATTTGTGATGGTGCAGCATCCTGGGGTGT